GAAAAGGGAGTTAATGTGTCGCCATGGCTACAGGGGATACACAACTATATAAATTATAAGCACTTTTTAAAAAAGCTCTAAGTTTTAGTTTTAGTTTGTTTGTTTGTTTTTTGTGGGGGGGGGTTTTGTTTTTCGTGGGGGGGTTTTTGGAAAGTGTTTTACGGCACTCGCAACTGCATAAAGTCATAAGAGCGCGAGGGACACATTAACTTTTCCAGTTTATAGAAATTTTTGAATTTTTCACGGGTGGCGGCCGAAGCCTAATCTTATCGATTTTACACTACCAAAGGATCTTTAACGTGCGCAACTTGCACACGGGCCCTCCGAAATTAGTTTTTTTAGTTTTAGTAAAGAGTTTTACGGCACTTGCAACACAATAAGGTCATATAAGTGCCGAAGATTAGAGGTGTTACAAGAGAGGAACAAACACAAAATAGAAGGAGGAGAGATCAGGACGATAGACGTTTGATAGGAAAGAAGAAGCAAACCACACCAGAGCACCCGCCAACCATCCACCTATGTTTCACCCTTTTTCGAGAAGGCTAGGAGTAGATCTTTCCTACCAGAAGATCAGGAAAGACAGCAGTGAGAAGGAGCCAAGGAGTAGCAGTAGAAAGGCTGCATAAAGAGTCAGGAGCCCACAGGAGGGGGCAAAGTGGGCGAGGGGGTGAAAGAGGAGACGAAAGCAGACGACAGGACATTGCTAGAGTTAAGGAAAGGAGGTGAAAGGAGACAATTTTAGAGAAGAGAATTTTTCGGTCACCGCCCGGATTTGAACCCTGGACCTTTGAATGAGAGACCAACACTTTAACCTCTAGGCCACGAGAGCCCCCAGTAAGTGTTTTACGGCACTTGCAAAACAATAAGGTCATATAAGCGCCGAAGATTAGAGGCGTTACAAGAAAGTAACAAACACAAAAAAGAAGGAGATGAGATAAAGACGATAGACATTTGATAGGAAAGAAGAAGCAAACCACACCAGAGCACTCGCCAACCACCCACAAACCAACTCTAAAAATTTCTGTTTTAGTTTTAGTAAGAGTTTAGTGTAGTTTAGTAAGAATTTTACGGCACTTGCAAAATTTAACACAATAAGGTCACATAAGTGCCAAAAATTAGAGGTTTTACAAGAAAGTAACAAACACAAAAACCAGAACACCCGCAAACCACCCTCTCAAATTTTTTTGAAGTTAAAAATTCAACAGAGCAAACAAAATATATACCAAAATAATCAATCATATTTTATTATTTTTTTAATGCAATAATAAGAGCAGAACAGTATTGCTATTATATCGCACTATTTATACGTAGATTTCATTTGTAAAGAGTGATATAAGAAAAATGTTTGTATACAAAGGGGCTTTTGAAGTCTCAGAGACGTGTCAACATAAATATAGTTTAGTAATATGATGCATACACGTGAAAATTACAGAAGATTAACAATCACTTTCAATCAAAATGTCAGAAATTTCTTTTCATTTAATGCAACACAGAAAAACACAACAAAATACCTGATGAACCAAAATTTTGCATTAAAAATGCATAGATATTTCTCACTTCAACCCACATCTTGAGAACAACTCCCAAACAAATAAACCTTGTCTCAAGAAAGTAAAGTTTTGCTGCACTAGGGTAAGAAAATTACTTTGTTCACATTTTATTTCAATAAAAATATAAACGTGTAAGGAAATCCTTATCAACCAATAACACTAACATGAACGGTAAATCAACAGTAAGACAAAGTTTACTGAATAAAACCTGCAATGAACAAATTTCATTTTCAAAAACCTCATAACCATCTGCATATATATATATCCCAAAAGGAAGACAAAAATCTAAGCCCCAATTTTGTATTAAACAAATTTATTTCACCAACTCAAAATAATTATCTTTGTTCAGCAACTACACCTTTGAAAATTAGATAATCAGTTGTAAAAATCCCCCGACTCGATTTATAAACTGTCATACTCACACGCCATGTACATATATCATATCATATATATATATATATATATATATATCTCACACGGACAATTATTTACAACACGTTCTCAGCGAGACAAGTTCTGCCAGGTGCAAGGCAAAGACGGCAAGCACACGTTACATGAACGAAGAAACGAGACGTTCTTCTACTCACAGACGAGACATTGTTCTACATAAATATGAAAAAGACATGCGGAATGTGGCAGGATATCACAAGGACACAAAAACTCAGCAGGACACATTTCAGGGTCAAGAACACACATTTTAAGTCCTTCTCTACCGATCACACTTATTCTTTTCGTACAAAGTCTTCCCAGATCTTCCTTTTAAACATTTTTTCAGTTAAATTTTCGAAGAACATCCAAAAGAAATAGATAACATGATACAATCTGTCACTGTAATCCAAGACGAAAAAATCAAAACTTTAGAAATACAAATTTACAGTCCCAGGAAAAACCCACTCAAGATTGTTGGAATCATATTCAGTCAGGTGCCATTAATAAAAGGTAATCTCATATATTACTCTCATCAAATTTTTAAAAACTAATTTTGAACAAAAAAGCATTAAATGAATAGATAAATACAACCCAAAGGCTTCCATAAACAAGACCTAACAGTAACAAAGTGTGGCCATTCTCCGATCTAACACATTCACAAACCGAATGACAAAACACTTTGGATATCTGAGCAACATCTCTCTGTCCATTCACTCACAGACGAGGACGTAGCACCAGGTACAGACTCGCACAACACTCACACAACACAACAAACACTTACACATCACAACACTCACACAACACAACACAACACAACAAACACTCACACAACTCTCACACATCACAACACAACACTCACACAATACTCTTACAACAACACATCTGTCGGTCAGTACTCCCCAACTGGTACCAAACACATCAACATAGGCCTTGACAGCAGCAAACTGACTCTCAGACATTTTGATCCTGCATCAGATCTGAAAAGAAAAATAACACAGTTTGTTTTAGCATGAGTTAAACAAGGCTAACTAACTACAGAAAAGTAATTGTGACCTGTCCCAACGGTTTGGTTCAGTAGGTCATCATCATCATCATCAGACAGTGCCAGATCTGCGACAGACATCGGCGATCATGGTTCTCCATTCATTCCTTTGTCGGATGCTCTCAAAAAAGCTACGTTTCCATGATCTTTCCCATTTGTTTAGGTTCCCTTAGTAGGTTGTTCTGGGCCTACCCCTGCCATGTTTGCCTTCAATTTTGCCAGTGAGAGCTAGATGTTCAAGACCCTTATGTCTATTCAGGTATCCCAAAAACTGCATTTTTCATTTCCTGACTGTTTTTAACAATGAGCGTCCTACATGGGTTTCATCAAGCACTACCTCATTTGATTTCTTTTCCTTCCACGATACTCTTAACAGTCCCCTAAGAAACCACATTTCTGTTGCTTCTACTTTATTTTCACTGTCCAGTAGGTACAGATTTCATAATTTGAGGTTTTGGTACACATGTAAAGAGGACACAATTCCCCTTTATATGACACCAATATCAAATGAATACGACAATATTTAACGTAATGACGCACAATTCAATTTTGGAATGCTTCACTGCTGTCCGAGGCAAAATACTGTACTGAGATATTCGCAATCGAAGATTTGACAAATACTCCATCACAGAACAAAGACATTCTCCAAAATAGCTTTAAAAAACACAGATTTTTAATTGATTTTCCGACAGAAAAGTCATCCAAAAGTCTAATACAGCAACAACAATAATTTGCTTATTTTTAGACCCAGCAAGTGCTTTAGGCAATTTCTGCTGTTCAGCTCGATGTACCCACTGGACCGCAGCGTCGGGACACATCACATTTATTGGTAACAAAATTCTGTCATCTCTTTGTTCATGCTCTTGGTTCCTAACAACGAGAGATTCCCTCTGATGACGCTGGACAAAGTCTTAGTAAGAGTTTTATGGCACTTGCAACACAATAAATAAGGTCATATAAGGGCCGAAGATTAAAGGTGTTACAAGAGAGTAACAAACACAAAAAACAAGGTAGGGAGATAGAGATGATACATTTTTTTTATAGGAAAGAAGGAGCAAACCACACCAGAGCACCCACCAACCACCCACCGCTGGACAAAGGCAGGTATGAGAATGAATGAAAGTGAAAGACAAGAATAATTACAAGACTTGCAGTATTTTGTACAGCAATGACCATTTCTTCTTCATAAGACCCCTTTCCCCACTTTCTTCATTTCACACTCTCTCTTTTTCTCCTCCATCTTCTCTCTTTATACAATCCCCTTTCCCACTCTCTTCGTTTTAAAATCTGTCTTTCTCCTCGCTCTTCTGAAAGTGTGATGCAGACATTATTAGATCCACGTAATTAAAAGGGACAGAAAAACGAACACTAAACTTTTCCTACGATTAATTATTGAGAAACCAAAAATAAATATTAATGTAGTCACAAAAATCATTTTATCCATTTCCCACCTTCTTTAAAATATAGTTTACTTTATGAGGGATAAAAAAAAAAGACATTATTGCAACAACAAAAATTTTCAAGAGAGTGCATTTTAAACAAAGATTTACATCAGTGTATTTTCAGTGCGCAGAAGGGTTAAGGTAGAATGCACTTTAGGACCTATAGGGTAAGCTTTGTGAGATTGTCTTTACTCAAGGATGTACTGGAGAGAGAGAGAGAGAGGGAGAGAGAGAGAGAGAGAGAGAGAGAGAGAGAGGGGGGAGAGAGAGAGAGACAGAGACAGAGACAGAGTGAGACTAGTGAGAGAGAGAGAGAGAAAGAGGATTACTATAAGAGCTGTGCGCTTCATATGTTCTTTGTATCATTGCACAGCGCATTGAGCACTTCTTTGTGGAAATGCGCTAAATAAATGCAATTTATGATTATTATTATTTTTATTATTAAACAATGACAGAGGGATAAAACGAGTCAAAACATTGCTGTCTTCCTAGGAATTGTGGAAGAACAGCTGTCTGAGGTACAACATTACCATAGTTATCGTGGTTGAGTAGAGGAGGGTTGTAGTATACACACATACAAGTCAGCACTACAATGGCTGCACTTCACCAGGAACAGACCAAGCACAACAGTAACACGATTGACTGACTGGTTGAGTAGGTGTTTTACGGCACCCGTGACTCCATTTTGGTCATGCAGGTGCCGTGCAACATGAGAACAGTCGGAAAAGGCAGTGCGCACAAAGAAGGCCCACAAGATGCTCCTCTATGGGTTTTGAAAGCCACGATACAAAAGTCATGAACTCGTGTTTTATGCTCGTTTTAGTAAGCATTTTATGACACTCGCTCGCAAAACAATTAGGTCACATAAGCGCCAAAGAGTAGTGATGTTTTTAGTTTTAGTAAAAGTTTTACGGCACTTGCAACAAAGTAAGGTCATATAAGTGTCAAAGAATCAAGGTATTCAAAGAGAGCAACAAACACAAGAAAAGAAGGAGGGGAGAAAGAGACGATAGATTTTTTTATAGAGGAAAGAAGGAGCAAACCACACCAGAGCACCTGCCAACCACCACTGCAAAAGAGGACGAGAGACAAGGATGACAGATATTAGACATGAAAGAAGGAGCAAACCACACCACAGAACACACAGACAAACCACACACTCACGTACGTACTCACCTTTCTCCTGTTGCGACGGACATGATTAGATCTAACCCTCCACGTAGTCGTTGTCGTAGTCGTTCAGCTCAAAGGTCGGGTTGTTGTATGAGTTGTTGTAGTTGTCATAGGAAACTGGGGGAAAACAAAACAAAATCATAAACAGTTTGAAATCCTACCTGTCAAATGTATGTGGGCCGTGCGGCAAAGTGGGTCACCCCCTGAAGAGCCAAACCTAGAGGTCTAGTGCAATTTTGCAAATAATGAAAAAACTAACAAAAATTGTTTCCAGCCTATATAATTATTAAATGTCACATTATTCCCATTCCATACTTTTAGTTCAGTTTTAGTAAGCGTTTCTTCAACACTTGCAACACAATTATTCTTCAGTCATTTAAGAGCCGAAGATTAGGAGTTGCAAGAGAGTAATTAATAACCTACAAAAAAAAGGAAGAAAGATAAGGAATAGTAGATGTTTCCATACTTTAAATCTTTAAATAACATTGACATTAAGATAAGGAAGAAATTTCACCTTAGTTGAATGAAGCTGCAACTATCCTTACATGGCAAAGAATTGAAATGTGAAAGCATGGTGCTCAGAAAGTAAATCAAAATGATAATAGTAATGTAAATAATGCGGGGGGGGGGTTTTTTAAACTAGACTGACGGACAGAAGTAAAACCTACAAGTCGCCACTCTAGAATTACAAAGTTCTATCTGCTCAGTACGGTACCTAGTTTTGAGAAATTCGACGTACAAATATTTTGAGTTCCACAACATGTTAGAGTTAGTAAGAATTTTAAAGCACTTGCAACACAATAAGGTCATATAAGTGCCGAAGATTAGAGGAGTTACAAGGGAGTAACAAACACAAAAAAGAAGGAGGAAAGATAAAGACGATAGATGTTTGATAGGAAAGAGGGAGCAAACCACACCAGAGCACCCGCCACCCGCCCACTGTTAAGCTTTTTCGAATGCAGTTCTTTGGATATAAATCAGATAACGACTCCAAATAATCATACGATTTTGATAGAGCAGATGGAACACTTTTTTGGTTTTCTGACCTCATGGTCTCAGTAACTCAAAAGCGCCAAAAACGTCAGATAGAACTTTGTAATTCTAAGATAGTGAAGTGCCCCCCCCCCCCCCGAAGTGCCCCTCCCCCCCTCCCCCTCAGGTTGAAAGCTCACACATCATCATCATCCAGTGCCAGATCTGTGACAGGCATCGGTGATCATGGTTCTCCATTCATTCCTTTGCTCGATGCTCTCAAAAAAGCTGATCTTTCCTTGTTACCCATTTGTTTAGGATCCCCAAGTAGATTGCTCTGAGCCTACCCCAGCCTCATTTGCCTTCAATTTTGCCAGTGAGAGCTAGATGTTCAAGACCCTTATGTCTATTCAGGTGTCCCAAAAACTGCTCAAACATCACGAGACAAATAACAAGAAAAAGCAAACAGCCACAAGATCCCAACGCGAGACACGGAGACAAGGGCCGGTCGGCCAGCTCACCTTCCCCGACCACCTCCATGATCTCCTTCTCCTCCTGTTTCTCCCGCAGGGCTCGGCACATCAGCACCGTCTTGCGCAGCGGTAGGATCAGCATCAGCAGCGTGGCGTTGACAAAGTTGGCGATGGCCACCACTGGGTCTCTGTGGAGCCCAACAGAACACGCAAGTGTAATTAAATAGACGCATCAGCTGGTTGAAGACCATTTTGATTGTAAATGTTTTACGCCACAAAAGAAACAATTTAGATCAAGTCAGGGCCAGTTCTGGTTGAGTGGGAGACTTACTTTACTTTGTTGTTATCGATCCAGCTTTACTTGACTTTACTTTACTTCAATTTACTTTACTTTTCTGGTCCAGCGGCCATCTGAGTTCTACTGTCGATATGGCAAAGAATTTACAGGTTTGTTATCAGTTGTGTTTTATCGCTGTATAGAGTATTTCAACATCTGAGGAAGTAGGCAAGTTGGTAGGTAGGTACTGCACAGGTCGTTAAGTGCAGCAGAGCAGGAAAAGAGGTGGTGTGATATGTGTGGGAGACGGCACCTCAGAAGACAGGCAGAGGCACTTGATGAAACATAAAAGAGTTCCCCACTTGAGAATCAAACTTACATCTTCTGTGTGCAACACCAAAGAGCCTTATCATTACACTACAGACACTGACACACATACACATTTTGAGTTTTTCTGAGTTTGAGTAGAAAGAAGTTAACTGAAATTTTAAAAAGGTTATTAAGTATAAGAAAAAAGTGGAACAGACAGAGATTTCTTTATAGTGTTAGTAAAAGTTTAAAGGCCCTTGCAACACAATTAGGTCATACAAGTGCAGAAGATCAGAGGTATAACTAGAGAGTAATATAAAGAAAAGAAGGAGGAGAGATAATGACGATAGATATTTGTAAGGAAAGAAGGAGCAAACCCCACCAGAGCACTCGCCAACCACCCACTAGACAGAGAGAATATCATGCTGAGTGGAGATGCACTTGAGGTACGGTCACCATGACAACAACAACAACAACAACAGCAGCTACATTTCTCAAGGAGAAGAGCAGTAGTTTCGGCTAACTCTTTAGTTTTAGTTTTAGTAAGTGTTTTATGGCACTAGGAACACAATAAGGTCATATAAGTGCCGAAGATTAGAGGTGTTACAAGAGAGTAACAAACATAAAAAAGAAGGAGGGGAGATAAGGATGATAGGTGTTTAATAGGAAAGAAGGAGCAAACAACACCAGAACGCCCGCCAACCACCCACTCTGCTGACTCTGCATAAAAACTGACATATTTCCATCAGAACAGATCCTGAAATCCTTTTCCATCTAGATCATCGACTTCCCAAAGATAACAAAAAATTTGTCAGGAGTAGACTCAAGTTTTAAACAACAAACTAAAGAAATATCCACAATAGTTCCAGGTACCTGATATATGGGTCAGCATTGGTGGTGACGGTCATCCAAACCAGGAAACAGCCGGCTGTTGCTATACAGGCAAACAGGATCCACCTGAGAACAGCAGAGGAACAGCACTTGTCAAAGGAGAAGCATACGTTAAATCTAATAATAATAGCAATTGAGTTTTGATTCAGAGTTAAGGGAAGCACATCGGTAAGTAATGGCTATTTAGTGCTGGGGAAAAAAAAAAGAAAGATAGACGGCAGAAACAAGAAGTAAAGACAAGATGCCTGTAGGACCTATCAGTGGCCCCCTCCAACCACCCACTCTTGTTATTATTGGCCCAGCCAGAATTCCAAAATACAATGAGCATGGACATGTGTCCAAAATTCTGCTAGTTTTAGAAAGAGTTTTATGGCACTTGCAACACAATAAGGTCATATAAATGCCGAAGGTTTGAGGTGTTACAAGAAAGTAACAAACACAAAAAAGAAGGAGGGGAGATAAGGACGATAGACGTTTGATAGGAAAGAAGAAGCAAACCACACCAGAGCACACACCAACCAACCACACAATAATAATACATAGATTCTGCATCTAGACATTGTCACCTCTGGATTGATAACAACAACATACACTGGCACCTAATCCAACAATGTCTTGCTGCTGACAAATAAGTGTCACGACACAGTGGAATCAGGAGCTTCTCAATTTTGGGGCAAATGGAGTTATTGGTATCATCTGAAAGCTTATTCATTTGCCTTGCTTTCAGTTTTTAAAAATCCATCTAGCTTGAATAGAAGTCGAGACATTTGCGATTGAAGAAGGTGGGGTTGCTTGGTTTAGTGATTAAATGAATGAGAAAATGGCCACCAAAGTTTGGTAACTTCAATAGCTTTAGAGTCCTTGAAAACTGAAAATTACATGTTTAGTGCCTTAGAACAAGGTTTTTCAATAAAATTCACATGGAAATGCATTTTCCTATGAACATAAAGGTGTCCAGCCAAAACCCAAAATGTTGATAAAAAATAGCCAACATAGTGGAAAAATGAATTTTTTTTCTAATTCTATATATTCACGAGCGCCTGATTTCACCACAATACCTCACATATATATCGTCGCAGTCGCAAGCAATCCACTTAAGTACAAATTTTGAGAATTTTCGACTTTTTTTACACCCTCCCAAAGCTCTATCAAGGATGCACCTTTCAACATCACCAAAATACAGTTTATTGTTATGGTCAAGGCTTACAATTTTCTTGCTTTTCATGATTCCTGGTAAGAACAACACAATAAAAACTAGTTTTTTTGTCTCTGGTGTGAAAAGTACCCAAACAAGACTAGTGGTCAATGGACAGACAGGGCGTGTTATTTTGCAATAGAGCTTTGTATTTATCTGCCCACCCTGTTTGGGGTAATATTTTTTTAAAATACAAAGAACAATAACACGCCAAACAGCATAACATGTGTCACAACGCGGTGGAATCAAGCCCTCTTCAAATTTTGGGCATATTGAGTTATTGGTATCATCTTAAAGCTTGCTCATTTGTCTTGCTTTCAATGAAAAAATTACCCATCCATCTTCAATAAAAGTGGAGACATTTTGGATTGAAGGAGGTGGGGGTCACCTGATTTAAGAGGTAAAATTAGCGAGAAAATGGCCGCCAAAGCTTGGTTAATTCCAAAGCTGGAGAGTCCATGGAAACTGTAAATTGATATATTTGTGCCTTTAATCAAGGTTTTTGGTGCAATCCTCAAAGGAATGTGTTTGTAAATGGACATAAAAGGTGTTTGGCCAAAAAACAGAAATTTGATAAAAATTGCTAAACAGGGAGAGAACTGCTGTTTTCTTCGATTTCATTATTTTGACGAGAGCCTGATTCCACCACACTGCCTCACATATGTGTCACAACGAGGTGGAATCAGGGGCTCATCAATTTTTTGGCATGTGAAATTATTGGTATTTTCTGTCTTGCTATCGGTGAAAAAAAAACACCATCTATCTGGAATAGAAGTTGAGATATTTGAGATTCAAGGAGATGGGATCCCCTGGCCTTAGGAGTAGACTTAGCGAGACAATGGCAGCCAAATTTTGGTTATTTCCATAGCTTGATAGTCCTTGGAAACTGAAAACTTACCTTTTGGTGCCTTTTATCAGCGTTTTTCAGTAAAAATCCACACAGAAATTTGTTCTTTACTGGACAAAAACGGTGTTGAGTCAAAAAAACAAAAATTGGATAAAAACTGCCAAACCGGCAGCAAAAATGCCAGTTTCTTCAGTATTATTATCATAATAACCCTATCCATACATTGTGTTTTACAATCGTATCCATATAACAACATGGGGAACTCTGTGCCTCCACTTTCCAAAGAGGAAATTTACTCGCTAATCCGATCTGTACTCTTTGCATAGCAGTCAGTCAAAATGATTTTTTGAGAAATACAGAAAGTTTCAAAGAGATTTTCGCACTAGATGTATTCTAAAATGTAAAGAATACAACCCCGGAGATACAAAATGACCCCAGGGCGTACGGATAGTGTTAACCCATTTCCACCCGAGCAGACACCCACCTTAGCTTACCTCCAACCACACCCACAAATCTAGGTACCCACACCAAACTTGCAATAACTTCCCTCCCTCCAGTTACAAAATTATCAGGCAATAAATGTATGAAAGTGCAAGAACGGTAACTCTAAAGTAGTTTTTTTTAATTTTAAGATAATGGACTGGAGAAAGTTTTATTGAGACAAAGAGGGATTAGGATTTTCCCGTAGTAAGGGGGCTGCCTGAATACGAGTATTCTTGTAGGCCGTCAGCAATGAGTTAACAAGCACCTGATTTCACCACGCTGCCTCACACATAATATGACACATCTATACACATACCGTGACTCAAAGTTATTCCTGTCCGTGTCGTAAGCCATGGCGGAGAAGATGGCCGTGATGAACACGATGAACATGACAAAGATGAAGGAGGTGACGAGGCCAAGGTCGTAGTCGGCGATCGGATCGCACCACCAGATGTCGTGAAAGTCGCCCGTCTGGCCACGCAGGGTGGCCGTTGGGTGCACCAGGATGAGCCAGATGATGGGCACGATGCACTGGATGAGGACGAGTGTGCACGCCATCAGGAACAGGACCAGCGCAGACGAGATTCCGCTGGAGGGTATCGAGGAAAATTTTCCGTTTTAGTGACACAGTGCTACAAATGAAACAGAGAGAGAGAGAGAGAGAGAGAGAGAGAGAGAGAGAGAGAGAGAGAGAGAAAGAGGACTGACAAAAAAAACCCTGAAAAACATACAGAAAGAATAAAAGCTATTTTGATAACTTTTATTGAAGGATACAAGCTATCGCAAGGTTGAAGCGTGTTTAGAACCAAAAAAGAAAAAGAAGAAAAAGAAACCATCCCCACACAAAACAAACAAACAAATAAACAAACAAACAAACAAACAAGCAAACAAACAAAAGACTATTTGATGTTGAAGGCACAAATTCACAAGTCAGTAGGTTTTTTTTTTACCTGAAAGAAACCAAAGTCGAATAGGTGTGGACTGATACACATAATTGGAGTCAGAACAGTTGCAAAGACATAGCGACAAAAAGCACAAGCGTATTTCTACAGATGGGGTAATAACGACAACCATAACAACAGCAGCAGCAACAACAACAACAACAACAACAGCAGCAGCAACAACAACAACAACAAAACAAAGCATCCACAAAAAAAGAAAGAAACAAGAAGCCACGGTTTCACTTTCTGTACTTTCAATCACACTATTCGGTCGGCACACATACGCAGATACACACTCATAAACAAAGAGTGGAAAAGACAGAGTACAGGGAAAGTAGATATTTAATGATTTAAAAAAAATGAATGAATGAATGAATGAATGAATGAATGAATGAATGACCATCGTCAAAAGCGTTTGATAGAAGTGATCCTCCGTTTTACTTATCTCCCCATTGCCATACATCCCCTGCCCCCAC